AACTTCGAGCACCACATGGTGCCAAAACAATACACTTTCCCCGTCTTGCCTGACCAGGACAATAGCTTTGTCAGTACGCTGCACGCACCGCCTCGGCTGCGCTCGTTGTCTAATAGACAATAGCATCTCCCATTCACAGCTCTTTCTTATTGTCCCAGTCGCGCGGGCGATATACATATATACCAGGGATGTCGAGGCTACCGGACGTGAGTTGAAGATGCCTTTTTCTTCATCCTCTCGACCTCAATACTGATCGTACAAGATCGGTATTCTAGTACCCATCACCCACGCCGAAACCTCAAGACCTCAACACCGTTTACACACGCCATGACTGCTCAAGACACCTCCCGAGACCCTCAAGACGTCTCGCCTCAACATCTGACTCAAGCTGATTCCCCCGGCCCAGCCGCTGCCGAGCCGTTCTCTCCTCAAGCCGAAGTCGTGTCGTACTCGCCTTCCCGTCCTGACATCGTCTATGACTGTGACTTTGATCAGTTCCTGGCATACGACTTCGTGAGTAGCTGTCGTCAATCGTTTCTGCTTCCTTCGCAGGACTGACGGTTTTGTATTCATCCACAGGCTGCCACCGACGAGCCCACTGCCTCCGCAACTGCGAACACCGTCGCTGCTACTCTTCAAGACCCTATCACCGACTTCTTTGCGTCGAAGGACTTCCACGACTGGTGGACCTCCGAGCTGGCTTCGGGTGTACGTTTTTCCTGTTCTCTTTGACCGTTGCCGCACAACTGTCCTTTCTCATTCGTATTACCTTCAACGTAACACAGAACCTCGACTTCGCCAACTGCTCGGGAGCCGTGACCGCACCAACCTCGCTCGAAGCGCCTGCCCAACTCCAACCCGTACGCAGAGCGTGTTCTGTTTCTTCACTGTCGGAAACTCACGCGATCCCATTTCTGCAGACCTTCGCTCCGTTCTTGCACTACGAGAATGCTACTGCTGGATCTCTCCTTGCACCCGTCACGGACGTTGCAGCTGCCGAACTTGTGCGTTACTTCTCAGTCTCCCACTCTGCCATCTAAATGTTGATCTCGCTTCTACCCAGTCTGCCTCCATCGCGGACCTTCTCGCTCTCTTGGCAGGACAGGGCTGTCAACCTCAAGCCAGTCCTTCTGTACGTTTCCTTTCTTCACATACGTCTCCTCTGCCTGGTTGACTCACGTCGTGGTTTCACAGCCCAAGACTTGTCGAATGGAGGACATCAAAGCTCGTAACACGCACTCGCCCGACGGCTTTGACGGCCAGGGAGCACGCCTCCCGGCTATGCCCTACCCGTACACCAACAACCGCCTCGACAACGACATCAGCACCATCGCCGCGCTGGATGATGGTTATAGTAGCGACGAAGCCCCCTTGGCTGTCGTAGCCGAATCCACCGTTGCTGAAGGCGACGACACGGTCGACTTCACCGATATTATTCGATACTACTGGAAGGGCGGCGAATTCCGTGATTACATACGAACGTCTGACGGCAACATCCTGATCAGCGCCGAAGACATGGACGAACGCTTCTACGGCGCCAGAGTCGCTCTCTGGACTTTCTGGCGTTTGAGGAAACGAGGGCGAGTAAACCAAGCCCGCATCCGCGCTCACCTGCGATACCGAGGTGTAGGAGGAGTGTTCGGACGAATGTTCTGGCATCTCCTTACCAAGAAGGAACAAGACACGCTTCACCATGCCGACAAGAAGGGAATCCTTCACAAGGTAAAGCTTTGAACAGCGTTATGATACATCTCAACATAGAGACGACGAGGGCGTCGTCTTCCTCGTGGGAGAGGGAAGTTGTAGAGAGCCGTATAGTACTTTAGTCCTGAGCCGCATATACCATATATACAGCTCAGTCAAGTCCTACCCGCTTCTACTAACGGAAGAAGAACTACTAGTTCAACAGCTCTAAGCTGAGCCAGGTCGACATTACGTCATCATCTTTGTAAATAATTCTAAGTCCCGCGCGAGCAGAACTTAGAATAATTCAGGACGCGCGTACATGCTTACGTCATATTGCGCATCCCTAGGGAAACGGTTGCACCAGGTGCACTCGCGATCCCTTGGGATACGGAATGCACCTACTGCACTACGTATCCTTACCAGCACGAGCGCACCTGACATATAGCTATTCCTTGGGACAGCTACGGAACCTAGTGCACTCACGATCCCTTGGGATACTCGTTGCACCTAGTGCACACAGCATCTACAAGGATCTCATAGCACAGCTGCCCGCCTTAGGAATACTATATATAGCTGCTCCGTGACTCCTTTTGTAATAGCCTCTTATGACTTTTATCTCACCCTTTGATTTACCTTTAAATCCCAAGCTACCTTGAGTGCAAGACTTCTCAAGGATTAGCTACCCTTGTCTTTCACCCACGGTATTCAAGTATCGACTTAAGTAATAAGAGTACATCGTTTGTGCTAAGTTCCCACTACAACGGCGGTGCTAACCACTAACGTAGATTAGACCACTTGCCCGCGACAAAACTCGTACCACGCGCGGCGCGCGGATTGCAAATAACGAAACGATCGGTGAGTGATGGCTGACACTTTTGATGTCAGCCGACTACGGACTGGTCGGACATCCGCGATGACCGACTATGCATCTGTCAGCTGATGACAAGATGTCAGGTAATGCTGCATGCTGACTGAAGTCATTCATGACAGTAAGTAGTTAGCACAGCCGTTGTAATGGGTACTTAGCACAAACGATGTACACTTTCTACTTAAGACGATACTTGTATACCGTGGGTGGAAGACGAGGGTAGCTAATCCTGAGAAGTCTTGCACTCAAGGTAGCTTCGGAATTAAAGGCAAATCAAAGGGTGAATCAATAACTATGTAGCTACTTCAAAATACAAGTGGAAAGAGCTGCTATATATATGTATTCTGGAAGAGCTACATGCGTAAGGCAAGAGAGCTTCTCCTTGGTAGGAGCGTCCTTGACTCCGTGGTGGCAGAGCGTCCTTGATGGCGGAGTGTCCTTGAGTCCTCGGAGAAGGAGTGTTCCTGAGTCCGTATTGGCGGAGTGCCTTTGACTGATTCGTAAAGGAGTGGTTGCTGTCAAGTGCCATGACTAATCTACTAAGGCGAGCGGAGAGCAAGAGTGATGAGGACAGTGATGTCATTATCGATTATATGCTAACAACTGAACCATATCTCTACAGTACCCATTCATGCAACGCCAGCGAGACAGTCACTGACTTGTGGTTGCACCGGTTCTTCTCAGCTTCCACGGACAGCATGGTCAATAATAGACGACACGAAAGAAACCCCAAGACAGCATCATTTCCTGTCAGCATTCAGTCACATGATATGCATCAGTATCAACGTACGACCAGGGTTATATTTTGCACTCTCTCGGGTCTACACGAGATCAACATAGACAGTGCCTACCGGCGCAAATGGAGCGGATGAAAGCTTCAGCAAAACCAAGTGGATGGGATTGGTAGAAATAGTTGTACAAGCTCATTGCATTCGAGTACCTTGTACGGTATCTTACATCAACTGTCTTCCTGGTGCTCACAGGCGAAAGTCGAGTTTCGGCCAGGTACCGATATTGACAGAGATAGCTCCCGGACGATTTGCAGCAGGTAGGAATGGAAAGGAATCTTGTACAACGACGGCGACTTTCGTATTGTCGCTGGGCACCATGTTTCAAAGACCTTTGAATACCCTCTGGAGTCAGCAACATCTCGGTTACATGATAACAGAACACTTACCGTGATTAGAAATGACGTGACTGAGCGTAAATCTTCGATCAAGGTATTCCGGAGGTCATATTGAAGAAAGTTTGTAATGGGTCTCCAGCTCTTGCGTGCGAGCGAAACAAAGGATGATGAATAAACGCGCATTGAGCCCAGAGACTGTTTCAGCAATTTCGATTGTTGGTATCCCGCAGCTGAATGAACTCACGCCAGCTCTTCCATTGTCACGCATGGCGCTTCGCAAGAACGTTCGGTGCAAACCCGCGGTCCGTTTCAGACATTTCCCGCGCGAAAATGGTGCAGTCTATTTTGTCGCCTTTCTACGGAGCGGCGGTTTCGGAATGAACCGCGGGCGTTGAGACTTGACATGGATGAATTCGAAAAGTGCGAATCCACTGAGATCAACCGTTGATCCATCTGCTTCCTTCAGATTAGCCGTCAGTTGTGGTAGTTATTATAACAAAATAAAACTTTCAACAACGGATCTCTTGGCTCTCGCATCGATGAAGAACGCAGCGAAATGCGATAAGTAATGTGAATTGCAGAATTCAGTGAATCATCGAATCTTTGAACGCGTCTTGCGCACCTTGGTATTCCGAGGAGCATGCCTGTTTGAGTGTCATGAAAACCCTCAACCTTAGATTGGTTATTTGACCTTTCTTTGGCTTGGATTTGGACGTTTGCCGGTTTCAAGTCGGCTCGTCTTAAAAGTAATAGCTGGATCTGTCTCGCGACATGGTTTGACCCAGGCGGAGCTGTTAAATAATTCCGGGAGCCAACTTGGGCCCAAACTCGTTTCGCAGTTTGACGGGAAACTACTTGGTTCGAATCTCACTCTGGTCATCATGTTTGGTCCTGCTCGACAGCCACAAAATAGTTTTTTTCGGGAGGTTCTACGTTCAGTTTTGCGTGTGCTGTGGCATTTTTAGTGTTATGGTCGTTCACAGCGTTTTGCATACAGCTTCACTCCCGACAGCGCATTCGGGCGCATCGCGGGGGCCGATCCGATTGCCTGAAACCGGTCCAAAAGCCGCAAAGCGGCAAGGGGTTGTTCGGTTTTTGGCGTTTCAAGCTGCGTTGTATCACGGAGTCCGTCGCGGCTGCTGAAAAGAAGCGGCTGGTCGGTTCGACGTTTCAGGTGCTCTGTCATCGCTGTTTTGTCTTCCTGGATCACCTATATCGAGGGGAGCCAGCGTTGTCAAGCGAAAGGTGAGAACAGAAGCTGCGAGTGGGGGTTTCGATGTAAATAAGAATTATCAATCCCAGAGTTCAACATTTATCAAAGTCTGCTTAGCTCAGTGGGAGAGCGACGGTCTGAAGTTCAACATCTTCGATAGGAGATGTTCTGGCTACCGCAGGTCGGGTGTTCAATCCACCCAGCGGACAAGGAGTTCTTTTTGTCGTTTTGACGGCATTTGCCCCTCACATCTGGGGCGAAAGGGAGGAAATCTCCACGACGTGGTCCCTCCACCCCGGTCGGCCCTCCATTTTGACTGATTCCTGGCTCATTACTTGGAATGAGGACTCCCGAGTGCCACCCCTGTCTTCCTAAGAGTCGTAGATATGAACAGGTATCTCAGAAGCCAAATCTAGCTTTGCGGGTAGTCATTTTACAGACCTGAAAGCCGAGTGGGGACGTTTAGAGAATCCGGCAAGGGACTCAATCGTAAAAAACTCGTTTCTCAGTCCGACGGGACACGAAATTGGTCCGTTCGATGTGATCTGCCGCCGCGTCCGAAGTACTCTTTCGGTGGCTCACGGCAACCGGACTCCTGAAGGCGCTGCGTGGTGTGTCAAGTAGTAAATCGCGGCCCGACATGATAATAAACGACTATTGACGGCACATTCGCGGTCATCTCTGCCTAGTTCGACATTACTGGTTAGCACCATGAACGTGGCCCTGTTCCAGATTTCCTCCACGATCGCTGGCTGTGGGTTTTGGTCTGCACGATGCCTATTGATGTTCTAGCTCAGGTCGTCGTTAACTTCCCGTTGCCAATCACTCTATCGCTCAAGCCCTTTCGCAATGCGTACAGTCAGAGATTACTTACACCCGTTTCCACTCTTACCAAATTAGCCAAAAAGGTACCTTCTGGCATGTTCATGATTCACAGCGCAAAGTACAATATAACTGATCTCACTACGCAAATGCATCGAAAACCGTGTCGCAAGTACGGCGCCGTACCTAAACCACCTCTTATGCCGCGGCTGTGCGCTTTGGTTAACGCATGCAGTCAGGTCTCCGAAAACAACGCCGAGTCTCGGTGCGAATGGTCGACTCCAACTCGGCCCATCAATGCCAACTGTGTCAGTGACATCTGCTCTATGGTCGTCACCAGCTCACCATGTACTGAGAACTTGCCCGACGTTAGTGTGTTTTTGGCGTCAAAGAGGCTGAATAGCAACACCATGAGGCGACTCGTCCGCTAGTGAAACGTTCAGTGTCTTGTAAGACTTACTCATGCATGTCATTTCTTTCTAGTGCAGGAATACAACTATGCGGTTGTGGCCAAGTTGACGAACATGTTTGGCGGATGCTGTGTATTACTTTTACAACGAGTGGATGGATACAGTATGTTTGGTTGTGGAGTCATTGGTGAAAGATTGATGCCGTCGATGGGCTTGCCATGAATCTCGAGTAAATGGTAGGCGAAAGGTGATGTGGCGTGAAGAACGGAATCAAAAGTCCCAAGGTTGGGAATAGCGACGTGAACAGGGCCTCTAGAAGAGAGACTGCGTAGCAGGCAAGCTGATGAACGGAATGTCCATTTACCAGAAAAGAGAATCGAAAATCGAAATTGAACGAAGAAGTAATCGAGCAAGTGGAACCTCGCGGTCGAATAGCGAAATCAAAGTAGTATTGACAGGCGAATAACTGGCCAACGATGCCATTGAAACGTAAACGGTGAAGCGAAATCAAATAACAGGGCAGAGCTCGGACGTCGTGTAGGCGAACGAGAGGCCGGTAGTTGCAAGGTGAAGCGAAATCAAATGATAGAAGAATAAACGTTGTCGTTGCAAATTGCTTCGGTTTCGAGCGGACAGATAAAGTCGACCGAAAAAGCAAAACGGCGAAATCAAAGGTGGAAAGTTCCAGGTAAATATGCAAGGTAGCCGAAGTCGACACAAGTTGGACTGTCCTTGACCGACGCGGGCGAATTGCCGACCGAAATAGAAAGCGTCCATGATAATGGGTAGAGCAAAATCGGAAGAGTTGGTGTAGAATACCAATACTCCGATAGGAGTGTATCCAAGACGGGATGAGCCCGTCGGGGCGAAATCGAACGGCGCAAAGCGCGAAAAGACGAGTGATTGTGCAGTCCCTATGTGGACGCTGGAGCGAAATCAAATAATATATCGAGTAATGATGGCCGGAAAAGCCGCGAATGAAGCGAAACGGAAAGGTGTATCGAGTAATGATGGTGAACAGCCGCAAGAACGAAGCGAAATCGAATGATGAATCTAGTAATGATGTAACGGGCCGCAAACGAAAGCGCAATCGAAGGGTTGTAAAGTAAAAGAGCAAGGTTACGCCACAGGCAAACGCCTATCGAGCGACACAGGACCGACGGCTGGAACGCAACGTGGCTGTCGTCGACCTGACCTTTGATGGAGACTGAGGCGGCGTATCAGGTAGGTGCATCGACCCCTTAGTAGCTCTAGACAAGGATGGTGTAACTGGTTGACGAATCCTCTGACTCGTTCGGGCTCGAAGTTGTCGCTCGGGTTCCGAATCCTGTGCGACGTCGTCTTCCGTGTCCGAGTCCTCGATGCGGCGACAATGTCTTGTGAACGTCGGCGTCGGTGACGGGGATAGAGGAGCAGTAATGTTTGATTGTGCTGATCGGAAAGGAGGTCGAGAGGTTTGTTGAGATTTGCGAGGGGTGGTGATGTCTGATGCTTGCTCTCTCTTTCGTTTCAGCGCAGCGGTAGGTGCAGAGTTCGAAGTAATAGACGTAGGTGGTGGCATGGGGATATTTTCCTTGCCAGACTTTGCTTTGCCATCGACGACTTTGAGTTGAACACCGGAATACGCCGACAAGGCAAGCCTTTCCTGCGTCTCCCATTCCCACGGTCTCTGTCGTCTCCACTCGGTTTCCGTCAAGCTCGCCCAATGATCGCAGTCACCTTGGATCCAGACATCAAAAGCATCCTTGAATTCTGCTGGTGGTGCAGTCTTGTTTATGAAAGCGATACGATGGGTGGGAGCGTGACCGATGTCGGATGAAGAATGGGTAGCGCGAATCGTCTTGATGAGTGAACGAAGGAAATTCTTGACACCATGCACCTTCAACGATGTTCCCATCACAATCACCATCTCCGGCTCTCTTCCTTTTGCAGGATCAACATCCTTGACCTGAATGTTGCCAATCTTTTCCGCATCCGGGTGAGGTTCATCGTAAAGAACAAGGGCAGGGCGAAGTCCGCCAATCTTGATGCCACGCGCGGATCGAGCAGCTCGCATTGCAGATCGATCGGCACATGTTGGACAGCTGGGAGAGGTGCCGGCGGTGTAGAGCGCGGTGAATTCGGGAGTTGTAGGGATGGTGGTTTGACAGAGTGAGCAGCGTGAGTCGGATAGCGAACCGTGGAGCTTGACGATGAGAGGTGGTGTAGTTGATGATGATGGTGGAGCGGCGGCGCCAAGGATGCTTTTCTTGACGACGGCAGTGATGCCGTTACCCAACCCAACCTTGTCTTCCAAGCCGTCGATGTTTTGGGTGTAGACCCTCAACAATCGACCTTTTCCCTCGCCTCGACCCTTCTTCCCACCTCGAGGACTGAGCTTTGGTCTCGCTTCCAATGCTCGAAGAAGAATGTGCGTTTGTGTCGGTTCGGCTTTGGCGCACAGGGTCGAGAGGTTGCCGATAAAGGTGTTGAAAGCAGCGAGGGTGTCTGGACGTGAGAGACAATGTGCGGAAAAGAGGTCTTGACCGGTGATAGACGACGAGGTAGTCGTCGGACAAAGCGCGTACAAGCCTTCATGGCTTCGAAAGTCCTGTAGGAGAATGTGAGATTAGCTAAAGCAAATGGTCAGGCCTGCGACAAGGTACTTACTGGAATGCCAGAGGCACAACTGATACCAGCACCGGCAACGACGATGATCCGGCTCGAATGGAGCATGGTGCTCGTCAACTGACGCAAGTGGGTCTGAGCAGCGAGTGGTTGAGGCAAGGTGCCCTCTTGGAGAGCAATGTGCTTCATGGCGTGAGTGAAAGTCGAGAAAGTTGAGGGCAAAGGATGGGTACGAAAGCAGGGGAGAAGGGCAGTGAAGAGGTCTTCTTATAACGCTTTCCCCTTGCTTCTTCTTTCTGCCCTGCTTCTTCCAAAGTCGCGCAGCTCAAAGAAGCTTGCCGCGTCGAAAACGTGAAATTGAACGCGTAATATCTTCAATGTGCCAATGTGCCCTACGAAAGAGCGGCACGCCCGGGAAAATGGTGTCACATAAGGCAAAGTCACTGCGCGTTCACAAGGGCGAATTTTTTTTTTGGTTGTCTGCTCCTCTTTCTTTCATGATGGATATCGTGCTCAAAACATCTACAAGATTCGTCACGAGGTCCACTCTCGAGACAGGACAACACGATTGTGACCCGCTGGCGCGGCTCCCAAAAACGTACGCATATAAGGCAGTCATAATACAGCTCCGGCTTTTCGCGCTATTCCACTCTAAGGAGTGATTTTTCCCCTAATCACTACTTGATGCTCAAGGTCAGAAGCCAACAATTTCGTATATGTGCATAATACTGTGTCTATCAGCTTATCTATCCCTACAACTCGTCTAATACGGCTGTCCGTTGCCTTGAGCGACATTCGCTAGTTCCCGTTCATTGTTGTGCGCTTTGATCACGCTGTGAGATGGTGTCCTTGTGAGCCTCGTGCTTCAATACGGTGGTTGAAACGTTGGCTTACTTGGACAAGGCCTTGAAGAGGAAGTTTTTCTGAGCTTTCTCTGGCAGCGGGATGAACGGTCCATTAACGTCGTCCTGCATAACAAGACCTATTCCGCCCGTATCCATGATGATCGTCTTGAGATCCTCGAACGGAATCTCCCATCGCAACTGCATTTTGGAAAGGATGATGCAGAGTATTCTGGTTTTGGTGATGATGATCGCCGAGTCTTCGCGGTTGAGGTGAACATGAGCTATATACGCCTCGTTGAAGAACTTGCCATGTTCTACAAGCAGCCCATTTGTTAGTTGAGTCCTCGAGCTGGTAAGACGATTTACTTACCCAGATCTTTCAACCAGAACTGCCCCGTTGCCTTTACCACGTCAAACGGCTGCGGTCAAGCGTATTAGTGCGAGCAAAGGCAGCTACAACCAAATTACATACCTCTAGTACTCCGTTCGATCCACAGAACCGGGGATATCGCGCTCGGTCTAGAC